TTGAGGCTGACGGGCCACGAGCCAGCCACCTTTAGATTACGAGGTGGGTACACTCGGCACACTAACTACTACGCCACGAAGATAGCTGGTCATCGCGGAGATGTAAGCCAGTTTTTTTTTTTAATGATGCAATTGTGCATTCTCCGGGCAGCGCCTCTCTTTGGTTGCAAAAAGGAAATACGCCTGACTCTCCCAGCGCTAGGGGAGAAAGGCCCGGTTTAGCCAAAAAAAGGTATAAAAAAACGGAATTTGAATTGTAGGTGGGCGGTTGGGATTGGAACTTTATCGTGTGCCAATTTCATGACCCTAGATCAATATCTTCAAGATCAAATGAGGTTAATCGTGATGAAATTTGCTATAGTGACTATTTTGCGTTTATACGCCCCTAGCTCTAAGAGTTACTGGCCGATTTTCCTATTTCTTCCTTTATACGACATTTGTAGTGTTATGAGAATCTCTGTTTAATCTAACCATAAATTTGGCAGTTAGTGGCCTGCTAAGAGTAAGATGTCGCCGGCAAAGGCGGCGATCGGCCGACGCGGGAAACGTTTCAGTCACAGATTGTGTTTGCACCCTAATAATTCAATTTTTACCAGTTGATTTTCGTATTTATTTGACTATTAGATTGCCTGTACATTTTTAAGCCTTAACACAAAATTTGACACGAATCGAGCATAGCGGTAAGAAAAAGTCTTCCGCAGTGCAAAGACGGAACCGTCCCGCGCCGGCTCAGTCTACCATTCAGGCGGCAACGGCCGGCGCCGGCCCAGTCGGGGAAACTATGGTAAAATCTGCTATTTTTAGCAGTCTGCTATTTTTAGCAGAAATCTGCTAAAAATGGGTACGCATGTGACGTCATCGTACCCAAATATAGCAGATTTGGGTACGGCCCCATACAAAAGCAGATCTGCACCCTAATTGAAGCAAATGCGCATCAAATGCCTGGCAGATTCATGATGAGAATAGTGCTGAGAGTGTTCTCTGCTATTTTTGTTCAGATCCGACTATTTTCAAATTCATTATTTGAAAATAGTCGGATCTGAACAAAAATATCAGAGGACATTCTCAGCACTATTCTCATCATGAATCTGCCAGGCATTTGATGCGCATTTCACTGTAAAAAAATGTCACGAGCCAATTCTATGACAAGGGGTGGGTTACACGGTCGTCCATTGTACCTTGCTGTTATATATAGGGACATTATCAGCCTGAGGGTTGTTAGTTAAAGAGTGGCCTCGTGAAACAATTGGTTACAAACGGTAACCTAATAACTTAAATGCTTCCCTAACACCCCTTCCTGCTTATCAACAGATTTCGCGCTGTGTCGGAAAACTACGCATAGTCTCATAATTAAATCCGCCAGAAGCTTGTTGCATGCTAGTTACATGCGTGTTTCATTATCGTGTCATATTATTATTATGTCGGCTAATGAGGCACCGCCCTGCACGTGCTTTAAATATAATCCTGCGCACACGCCACCTAGTCGGAAACTCATCATCGGACTAGTCCTGGTAGGGTTTTCGTGTTGCCGAATGAGGCGAAACGACTTTGATTCGGTAGTGCCTCATAAATCCCTGCTACGGTGAGCAGCGACGAGTCTGAGACTGCTTCTAAAACGCGTCCTTCACTTCCGGCGCGGGGCCGTCATTTCCGGCCGCCATTGTTCAGTTCTGCGGCTGCCGGCGGTTGGTGCGGTTGTGTTGTGGCACGGTGCGTTGTGAAGTTCTCGGGCTGGGATATTTCGAAGGTACGTTATATTGTATGATATTTACGTAGCAATGGGGGACATTTTATTTATTTTGTAATATTCTGAACACATGTTGCGTCATAGAATTCACCCCTTGACCGTTGTGGGCCACTGTTTCGTTTGAATTCCGACTGTTGGAAGACGGACTTTCTTTCAGTTGCTGTCTAGCCTTTTTTTCCAAATGTGTAAGCTACACATATTGCCTCACATTGATTTATCTTATACAAAAGTCAGTTGATATAGATAATAAAGCCATCCTCACTGATATTTTAAAATCAGCAGTTAATTTTCTTTTCTGTTTGCAGAGTTGCTTAAAGTTGTGGGAGACTGAGGCATGAAGGTATACCGGAAGCCAGCGATATTTCTGTTGGTAAGCCTCGCCCAGAAAAAAAAACTTGCTTGAATCTGCAAAGTATGGCAAATATTTGATGGACTGCACAGTGCACAATGTACCTGACATGGCAGGATCAACTTGCTCACTCGCCTGTTGTAAGTGCCGTTGCGTCAAAGCCCGTGGAAGTGCCCGATCGTGTCTCATGCAACCGTATTATTTTGTGAATGTTATTGGTGGTGACTCGAATCAGCTTTTGCACCACTCCGCTATGATATTGTAATATGTATATCTTTAGATATTTTGTATCGTATGCTAATAAGTAATAAACGTTATTTTTGTGTATGTTTTTTTTTTTTTGTAACGTGGCTGGCACGCTGTCGTGGCTGTCGTTGGCCGGGTCGTCCACCAGTCGGAGGGGCGGCTGGGGAGAAGGAGGGGGAGGAAGGGGGTGACGCAATTGAGCTAGTATTACTACTGGGCAGCAATAGCAGGCGCTAGCTGGTTGGGTTACCAGGCGAGTCCTGCTAAGGAGCCTAATCGGCATACCGATCTGCTGGTTTTGCCCTCGTTTTCAAACGAGGTACCGAATAACGAAACGAGGGGCTGACACGGGGGCGCTCGGTTTATGAGGCGTGGGCTTGTCATTTACTAACGAAACAAGCTTGTACCCTCTTACTAGCTAAATATGAGGCGATTTTTACACGTCGCTGCATGCTCATTTTTGCGCCAGCGGTTTTCCTACAAGGGGCTTGTAAGATTTTTTTTACAGTGTTGCTTCAATTAGGGTGCAGATCTGCTTTTGTCGGGGGCCGTACCCAAATCTGCTATATTTGGGTACGATGACGTCACATGCGTACCCATTTTTAGCAGATTTCTGCTAAAAATAGCAGACTGCTAAAAATAGCAGATTTTACCATAGTTTCCCCGACTGGGCCGCCGCGCCGCTCCGGCCAGCTCCGGCAAGATGTTTGACTTTACACCGCTATTACTAGAAAAGTTGTGGACCGATTTACCTATTGTTTGCACGGGAGGATTTGCAATTCAATTCTGGACAGATGCTGAAAGTTTGACGTTAATATAATAATTATGGCGTGAGTTATTGGCGAAAAACAGGTGGGGTTTGCGAAATCCGCCCCTTCCATCGCCCGTGCTACGTTGCACTACTTGTTGCTATATCATCCAAAGTTATCGTTGGCCCACTCTAATTTTCTCAGCACGTATGCCTTACGTGTGGTGGAAGATAATATCTAAATTTGAGCAAAATCGAAGGGTACCCATTTTTCAGAAATTAGATTTTAAGAAATTAATTCAAAATAAAATAAATTCAGAATCAACAAAAAATGTTAAAACTGCCGAATTTAAATAGCATAACTCCTTATGTACACGTTTCAGTTTGTTTGAAATTAATAGCTTCAAAAATGTTGAAGCTATAGATCTTTCAAGATTGCAATACACGTCCAATTCTGCTAAAAAAGCAGAAGTTTAGCGGCTTGTATCTCTGTAGCCCGAGGGCATATGACAAAATCCTTTGACCCTCAGAGGTTTTACCCAATAGCCAACAAGTATACCAAGTTTGAACAAAATCAAAGAGGTGGCCGATTTTGGCTGTCCCGGTTGACATGGAATGCCCCCATAGCTAAAACGCATCAAATGTGCAATCGGTCGTGCATCGGTCTATGACAAGTATTGTAAATAAAATATAAATCAACAACTGTTTGTACAGAACCGCCTACTTCTTTCAGTTGCAATAACCGCAATTTTCATTAAAATAATTTGTGGTATTCGTATGAGAATATATATTCAAGGGCGGCGCCACCGTGGGGGCAGTGGGGGCAGACTGCCCCCACTGACAGGAGGCCGTGGGGGCAAGACTATGGTTTTGCCCTCACAAAACTTGGCTGAAGTTGGAAAGGGAACAAGACCTGTGCAATATTCCCGATAGGATAGGATGTGATGATGCAAACAAGGCTACAAAACTCCAATGCAAAGCGGTGGTGATGTGATGATGGCAATGAAATTCCTTTATTTGCCATAAATTTTCCTTCATCTGGACAATTTTGGATGTCAACGGCTAGGGGCAAGGTGCTCCTGAATTCTGCAGATCGGGGTGTTATACAACAGTAGTCACCTCAAGCTTGCCCCCACTGGCGAAAATTCGTGGCGCCGCCACTGTATATATTTGAACATATTTGAGCTGTCGGGCGCTAATGACCTGTCGGGCGGATAATGACCATTATTGGCCCGACAGCTTTAATTTTGAGGGCAATACAGAGTTTGAGCCGCCCTCCTAAATGACGGTAATCGCCTAGTGATCGGCCCGTGCAAGTGACAATAATAAATGATGGCCCGCTGTTATTGGTGGATATGCCCAAGATTACTAGAACATATATATATGCCATGTATCCTGAGGATGCCTTTGTTCTTTGTCTTGGTTGGTTCGCCAAAAATCTTGATGCATTGAGCTTTGGTCTTTTGGTTCAGCCCAACTGGCTTAAGAAAGCTCCAAAAGGATTGCTGGATCGCTGCCGGTGCGGATCACTCCTTTTGGTGTTGACTGAGCTCATCTAACTATGTAATGTAGGCACCGTGGCCGTAGGGTCATTTTAGGTCAGCGCCGGATGGGAACGTTTTAAACCCACCTATGTCGATATAACGGGTTTAGTCGTATTTCCGCCGGGGGGCTTTGCATACAACCATGCCTTTCTACGTCTTTTGTTTGTGTAGGTCTAATAGCGCGCTGTAAAGTGACGGAGTGGCTAGACGGAGGCTTTGGTTGGACTCATCAGGGTGACACTCCGGCTTACGCCGGAGTTTTGACGGCCGAGGGCGCTCACAGTGATGATCAGTGTGCCGTGCCATGGTGCGTGCGTGTGTGTGCGTATGAGGTCTGACGCCGGCCTCCGGTGCCCGCGTCCCCAGGAGCAGCTGCCCTCGCTGATCCGCACCGCCGAGACGCTGAAGGTGAAGGGCCTGGCTGAGGTGAGCACCGGCTCGGAGGGCCAGGCGCCGCCGGTGCCGCAGGGCCCGCCCGTGCAGCCGCCGCAGCCGGCGCCGCCGCAGCCGCAGCCACCCCAGCCGCACCCGCAGTTCGCGCAGCACCCGGCCGGCGCCGCCGTGCCCCAGTCGATCCCGCTCTCGATGGTGGCGCCAACTATAGCCGACTCGTCCGAACTACAGAAGCAGGTCAGTGCCGCGCCGCCGCCGGCCCCAACAGGACGGGATGCGACGCGCTTTTTGTGGTGTTTGGAACGTCTGAATCGAGCCCGATCGCCCTCCATACATGGCCATGGCCCCGGCCGCCATGTGACGCTCCTTGTGGGTCGGGTCAGACCACGGGGTGCGGAAAAACAAGGCATAAAAGTGTTCCACGCCAACCATTGCGGGAGGCCGCCAACCTGATATGATGCGATGGCAGTCTACACTTTAGATGTGAACCGTCAATCCTAGGCTAAAAAAAAAAAATGAGCAACCTTAAGGCCACTGAACAAGGCCTATCATTATAGTCGGGACCGTGGATTCGGATTCGGAGTTATTCGGAGTCGATAGTTCAGCCTTGAACATGAGTCGGTGTCTCCAAAATCTTACGTACTCCGACTCGGAAGTCAGAGTTAATATTGCATGGAGCAAAATATTGCTGTACGCCTGTTTGCTTGGAGATATTGCGTTCCTTCACCCTTCAAAGACATATTTTGTCGACGCTAATACCATGCTCCTGTTTTGGACGAGCACTTTGAGCGTAAACAGAAGACTAGGGCTGGGCCAGAACCTGCTTCTAGTTCACTTTGTTATTTATAAAGTATATTTGCAATGTAAGGTCTTTGGGCGTACAAGGGATTGTTTTAGGCAACTGACAAGAGAAAAAGCATCTTCGACGTGAACGTAACTATCATGATGTGGATTTAAAGAGATGCCCTTAGTCGGAAATGGAGTGGGAGCTGGGTCGATTTTTAGAAGCCGGAGTCTGAGTGCGAGTCGGAGTCACCGAAAATCCATCGACTCGGCAGCCTTGAATGATTGTGTTCCCATACCTGAGACGGCGCTACTCGATAAAATGGCGCACTTCGCTGTGTTAAAAGCTTTGCTCTCTGCCTGTCTTGCATCCGCTCGATGCCTCTTAGCTTTATTTAGTTTGGATCGTGACTGGAAGCTGAAAATACGAAGGTAAAAAGAAAATGCATCAGTCATATTGGCTGTAGGTGGCCACAAGGCACGGTGCTATTGATCTCGGCAGCGGTTTATTTTATTTTGTTTATCAAATGGTCGGCGGGGATGCCACAGTTTTTATGAAAAATAGTTGATATGTAGGAGGCTGGGTAGTGGATGCTGGGTAGGCCAGCCGCGGGCTGCGGCCGTCGCCATATTGTGCGGGAAACCCGTGTGGAAATTGCTAAGGACGCGTTGCTATAATGTACGCAGATGAGTAAACAGACTGTGTTCATTTGGATAGTTTCCCCTGGTCGGAGGTACCCCAGCTCTGGCGGTGTTTACTCTGTGCGCGCCCGCCGCCGAGAGTCTCGTCCTGCTCAGATCTGTCCGGCATGCTGCCGGAATTCTCGTCGGGCGATGTATGGCCGACGAGAATCAGGTCCTGAGCAGTGGGCCTCACCAGCCAGCCAATCGCGAATAAAATTGACTTTTATTTGAATAGAATTTTCGCGTGGCTTAGAACGCCACATTGCTAGCAGCTTAAGCGCAGGCGAATAAGCCCTTATCCGGCTGCCGCATTGTTTGATTAGTTTGCTATATTTGGTTATATATTTATTCTTTGGTCATTTAGGTATAACATTACAGTGTCATAACATTTTGCTGCTGTTAGTGTACGCAGTGGGTTGGTCGCTGGCGTGTTGTGCTTCTAAGAGTGCTGCTCGATCCTTGACTGTTTGTCTGTGTGCTGGCTAGGTGCGGCAGCGGGCCATCGTGCCGCAGCCCATGATGGCCATGATCGGCTCGCCGCTGGCCATGCCCAAGACCTGGGGCGGCCAGATGCTGGAGACGCGGCCGGCGCCCGACTTCAACCCCGTCATCTCGTGCGTGGCCGGCAACGCTGGTCTGGACGACGGCAACAGCAACGGCGGCGCGTCCAGCGGCGGCTCCAGCGGCCGCGGCGAGCACAAGGAGGTGCCCGGTGAGTGGTCGCCCAGCGACCGACGGCCGCGGCCGAGCGGGGCCCCGCGCCGCGAGATACCGACCGGCCGCGCCGCCTATGTCGTTCCTATTTGGTCTCAAAGACTGCAGGCTGAAAATGTACCGCACTGCAGCTGGCCGTTGACGGCTCTGAATTCGCCCGTGACCGCTGTCCAGTCCCTGCTCATCTGACCGGCGCTTCCCACATTGTGCGCGTTACAGAAGGCTTCGAGAACATTCCCAAGCTGGAGGAGTTTATGCTCACCTCGCCGATCAAGGACAGCTTCTGGAAACAGGACACGACCAAGTACGTGCTGATGTCGATCCGCGACCGCAAGATCGACCTGAAGACGGGCGCCGAGCTGCTGGGCGTGTCGTACAACACCATCTACGGGCGCTACCGGGAGGCGCACGGCCTGCTCTCGGACTCGCCGATGGCGCGCGCCCAGGCGCAGGGCGCGGCCGCCGCCGCCGCGCAGAGCACGCCGCCGACCGGGGCGCCCGCCGCCGGCGAGCAGCAGCTGGTCGGCACGCCGGCCACGCCCGTCAAGGGCCGCGCCGGCGGCGACGCCCGCCTCTCCGAGAAGGTGAGCTGGCCGGGGGCAAACTGAGGTTCTGGGAGTGTATCCAATAACCGGAATGTGTTGTCTGGCTGCTGCTGCTGCTGCAATGTTGTCACTATGGTTTCATGTGTGACTGAGACAAGTGAAAGTAATCTGAGCGGTGCTTGAGCGGTGCACGCTATATTTTGCTAGGATGGACGAAATTCTGTATCTGTTGTCAGTTCTTAATCTGGTGGGCCTTGTGAACGCGAAAAACTTCACATCTCTTCAACTCTCCCCGACAGGACTTTTCAGCGCCTTCCTGCACTGCCCGGCCAACGGGCCGAGCCGTTCATTCCGACCTGACCTGACCTGACGTTTGCTCGTGTTTGCGTGTGTTCTGCAGGCGTCCGAGTTCGGTAACATTGTGCAGATGAACGAGTACGTCAACAGCGGCGGCTCGCGGCCCTCGTTCTGGGAGCTGGACGCCACTAAGTCCGTGATGGAGGCCATCCGAGACAAGTCGATCGAGATGAAGTTCGGCGCAGAGCTGCTGGGCGTGTCGTACGGCACGCTGTACGGCCGCTACCGCGAAAACTACGGCTATCTCAAGGCCAACTGGAAACAGAGGTGAGTGCCGCCGCGGACTGTGGTCGCCTGTTAACCTTCAGTGCTAGAATCCCAGATTGATTCCTTTGGGTTTTATATGATGGACCTGTCGATTTTGATGCTGAATAACGCCAGCCCATGATTGTTTAAACGCTAGCCCATAATTGTTTTTTATGTTCCTTTCTTTTTGGATCCATGTTTTCGACCAGGCTACCGGTCTTGCTTTTTTAAACAGAAATATTTATGATACCCTGAATCCTCTTCATTCATGCACGCCGTCTCAGATAATTTTAACGTGGTATGTTTGAATGATTGAGTCAGTGGAGGCTACATACCATCAATCTCTCCTCTTTCAGTTCCAATTCCTCGAGCCCAGCCCAGTCTCCTGTACCTTCTCCTCCATCGAGCCCCGAACCAGCGAGTGAGCAGCCGGCGACCACGATCGACCAGCGCTGACAGCCGGTAGATAACCTGGGGAGCTACTTCCATCCCACGGCCATATTACCCCTCCTACGATATGAGGTTATGCCAAACTTTCGCGAGAGTTAATTAAAGAAGCCTCCCAACCTAAGAGTTATGGGATCTAAATACTGGTTAAGCAAGTCCTGAGATCTCTGTCCTTTGTCGCTGTGTTGATAAGAGGGTCTTTGGGCCTTTTTATGTTGCTGGCTGATCTTGAAAGTCTATTTGCGTAGTGCTATAAATCATGTAAATGTAATAAACGTTTCCTTCAGGACGTATTTTGCGCGGACATTATTTTGCCATTTGCTGCATTTCGCCCGTGCCTGTCGTGTAGCCGGCCACACGTTAGCCCACGCCGCCCCCTGACTGTGTGTCGCTCTGCACACAGCCGCCGCATCGGCGCCGGTAGTCTGTGGGAGGAGCCGCAGACCATGGAGCTGCTGCGGCGCGTCAACGGCGGCGAGGTCTCCATCAACGAGGCGGCCGAGAAGCTCGGCGTCGACTACTACGTGCTGCAGTACCAGCTGAACCTGATGGACATGCACGGCGCCGTCAACAGCTCGTCGGTGGCCAGCACGGGGCTGGAGGACGGGCCGCCGTCCGGCCTGCTCACCAAGCGGCCCAGCCTGGACGCCCCCGCCGCCGAGCCCAGTGACAAGCGCGCGCGGGTCGAGAACGGCAGCGGCGACTCGACGCCGGCCGAGGCGGAGCCGGCGGCGGCCGAGCAGCCGGCGGCGGCGCCGGCCGGCACCGAGCCGCCGCCGCCGGCCGGCCAGGACGCCGCCACGGCGCCGGCCAACGGCAGCTCAGAGGCCGGCGCCGAGTAGGCCGCCCGCCGCCGCGCCACACGGCCCAGGCGCCCCAACATATTCCACTTTGGTACACGTTTTTAAGATAGCTTGGTATATTTTTATGTTGCTTCCAGTCTCGGTAGGAATGGAGGGCTGCCTCCCCGGGCTTTTGATCGCCGTTTATTTGACACGCGTGTTGCTGGTGGACTGGAGAGACTGGAGAGAGGTTGGCCGAAAGTCGGCCCGCGGATCCGACGCGGAACGATAACCGATTGTACATAGGCATTCGGACGCTATCACCTTTTGTACATAGAACTGCACGCCCGCTTCTACCGCCATGCACCTGTGACTGGGATTGTGTGGGCGAGGGTGGGCGGTGTCTGTCGTCGGCACGTACCGCGACTGGCAGACACTGCCAGAGGCGGGTGGACGGGCGGGCGGACGGGCGCGGCGCCGGCGACCTGCCAGCCGCCGCCGTCAGACCCCTAGTGCCTTACTGTCGTGTCTTGGGCCACGGAGGCCGCCGGCGGGCCGGCCGGCCGGCCGCCTCCCGTCCGCCCGCCCGGGCCGGCCGCCGCCGCCCCTCGACCGGCCGGCGAGGGGGCGGCGGCCCGCCTCTGTCCGCCTCGCCCCCTGTATTTATATTCACAATTCTACTCTGTCAAACAGTATTAATGTCGATCGGTGCGTTAAGGTTCGTTGGGCTAGCTGTTCTCGCGTACACTGTTATTCTGGCTGTCCGGCCTCTAGGTAGACGTCTGATATTTTGGTTGAGTTCACTCGGCCGCGCGTCGTCCACAAAGCCGAGCAGTTCGTTATTTACACCCGTATATACTCCTGATTGCTTTCAAACGAACCACCGGCCTTTGTTTTGTACGATCCATGTGTGGCGGCGGTCTGTGTTTGGTGTGTGACCGGCCGCTGAGGGCCGAGAACCTGTTGTACAGTGTTGTGTTCGGCGGTAGCCCGGACCGGCGGGCCTTCTCCCGGGTCCGGCGCAGTGAGCGTGTGGGAAACTTTGTGACTGTGGTGAGAGCGTGCGTGAGATGGACTGGGAGAAGTGAGCGGAGGCCTCGATCAAATCGTGCACGGCTCTGCGCGCACCGCCGGCCGCCGGTTGGCTCGGCGATACCCACGGTCGACCTAAGTTAAGTATGAAATACATGACGGTATCTATAGATGGTGTCTGGTCGGGCACACTATGCTTGTCGGGGATTGGGACAGGGAAAGGGTCGTCTGTTTCCTCCCCTCCTCCCTCGAAATGCGCCGCTATCGCGTTAGGGTGGAGGGAGCGGGGAGTAGGTCACTGTTTTCGCTGACACTGAAGTCATTTGCGTTATTTTTGTGCTAAGAGGAACTACGAGCCGCTCGGCACTGCCGGCTAATGAGTTCGTGGGCTGGACGTCAGCAGGGACGGGTCTAAATAGTGTACTTCTGCGGAACTAAACTAACAGGAATGTGCTGGTCAAGGGCTGTCCAGGAACTATCAAAAACAGTTGCAACGCGTCATCCGCAGTTGCGTTTAGCGGAAACAATCTATGACTGCATCGTTGACCAGTAAAACCGTTGCTTGCTATTCACAGCAGCTACAAATTCAAAACAGTGATTTTGAGGGTCGACATCTTCTCTACGGTCTATATCAACGGTAGTTCATCGGTTGAAATAAGCAGTTTTTTCGTTAAATACCGACCATTTTGGTTGACGGGTCGGTGATGGTCTGATGATAGCGGTCGACATTACATGGCAGACGCCATTCTGTTGAGTGTGGTCGAAAAGGACCTGACATTTATTTAACGTCAAAGCGAGTCAGCGCATACACGTCATAAGATTTTATACACGTAGAAGACGTACACTCCCCGGGCGATAAGCTCCTTGGGATGGACAACATTTGCAGTCACGTCTCTTTTGCAAGAAGCGCGTGATGTATCGCACCGCACAGTTGAGTTATTCAACCTCCTTGGATGCTGGCTTCGAACGTCATCAATCATGGATGCTTCCAAGAAACATGGAAAGAACACCTCCAAAAGTCTGGTTCCTCCAGCCAGCAGCCTTCGCTGGAACACGCTCAGGAACACCGGAATGATGGACAGCACAACATGCCTCCAGCAGCATCGTTGGAGTGACAGAGTCACTGGACTTTGGCGCCGCACCGATCAAAAACCCGTCCCACAAACACTGCACGCTGTATCGTCTAGCGTTCGGGACGGCTACACCTTCATCACCTTGTCCACCATGAACTGGTACATGCTCGCGTTGACGTCCTCGCAGGCGGCGATCTGTCTGCGCAGCTGTTCGATGGTGTCGTCCCGGTCAGCTCGGCCGCCGTCATCCTCACCGTCGGCGGGCGACTCCAGCAGTGCCGGACGGTCGCGCAGCACCAGCTCCAGCTCCAGCGGCCCCGAGTCCGGCTGGGCGCGCTGCAGCTGGCCCACGTGCAGCGGCGGCGGCGCGGCGCCGGCGTCTCGCAGCGCGGCCGGCCACCCGACCAGCGCCACGTTGGTGACGGCGCCGCGCTGCGGCAGCGTGCGCACACACTGGCCGCTGGCCACGTGCCACAGCCGCACAGTCTGGTCGTCCGAGCCCGACACGAGCGTGCGGCCGTCACGCGTCACGGCCAGGCACGTGACGCGGCCCGTGTGGCCCGTCAGTGCCGCCGCCGCTGCTGTCGGCACGTGCTGCTCCAGCGAGCGCGGCGGCTCGGTCAGCGAGAACGAGAGCACGGCGCCGCCGGCGGTGCCACAGAACACACGTGTCTCGGCCGGTCCGAGCGCCACCGAAGTCAGGCCGACATCGAACGATACGGAGAGCAGCAGCTCGCCGCTCGACAGCTGGTACACCTTGCACGTCTGGTCCCGAGAGCAGGTGAGCACGCGCGCGCGCGGTCCGCCGCCGCCCACGTGCAGGCCGGTAATGGGCAGCGAGTGGTGGGCCCAGACGTGCAGCGGCTGGCCATGGCGCGCCGACTCCGGGTCCGCGCAGCCGGCCACCGGCCACACGGCCGCCAGACCGTCGTCGGCCGCCGACACAAAGTGCGAGCCGTCGTCAGTGAACCGGAGCGCGGTGACCGTCTGGTAGTGGCGGCTCAGCACCGCCAGCAGCCGGCCGCTCGACAGCTCGTACACGAACACGCGCTCGGCCACGGCCAGCGCCAGCCACGTGGCGGCCGGGTCGGCGGCCAGGGCGGTCACGGGGCCGGGTGTGCTGAGCCGCTGGTGGACGGCGTCGCGGCGCGCCAGCCGCCACAGCTGGACGCCGGGCCGGCCGCGCTCGGCGGCTGCCAGCGAGTGGCCCGCCAGCGAACAGAGGGTGCCGGCAGCGGCGTGGCCGCCGCGGAACGCCGCCACTTGGGTGCCGGTGGCCGGGTCCCAGGCGACCGTGTTGTGCGCCGGCGACTCGGCATCGGCCGTGAGCAGCAGCTCCAGCTGCGACATGACGGGGCGCAGAGGGCGCGGCTCAGAAGGCAGCGGTCCGATCCGTCCTCAGCACCGACTGGCAGCACTCTGAGGGCTGGGAGAGAAGAGAAACTTTATCAGCTGATAAAACATGTCATCTTTCTTTCCAACAACTATTTGCATGAGTTTTGAACAGTTGCTCCCATGTGGAAAAAGACTTACTTAGAGTGTAAGTTACTACATCTTACCAACTCAGTCGGGCACACTGTGGTATTTCCGATCCATTTATGGAAACGTTTCCATTTTTGGAACAATGTTCCAAAAATGGATACGCCGTTTCCAAAAATAGAAACGATCTGTTCCATAAATGGAGACGCTGTGTGCATCGCTACCTTTAAAGCAAACTGGGCATTGATTGGTGCAATTTGGCATGCGCAGGATGCCACCAATCGACAGCCAGCATTCTAGTTTATGTTCCTGTTCTCCGACTTTCCGATCAGAAAACCGAAAGTTGACGAACGAGGCGATGCTTATAACATGTTGACGTGATAAAAAATTCACACGTTTTTCTAATCGAAAATAATAACATTTATGAATGTTTTGAACAAAAAATAACGTTTTTAACAGACTACTGAAAGACTGACCCATTGATTGGAACAACCAGATCACCGGGAACTTCATTTTTTCATTCATTTTCACGCTGCGTTTTCCGGTGTACCAGCGGCCTGGTGGTCGTCAATCTTTGATTAAATCGCATGAAAGTTGTTGCAAAGCCCTATTTGGAGACTTAAGTGGGCATTTTATGATATTTCAAATGTGCTGAGTATGATCGTAGGCTTGGATCAACGTAAATCTCCGTGCAAATACGTAAAAAGCAGGATGGAAATAAGGTCTGCACCGTCGTCACACCAAATACCGTTGTATTCTGACGATGAATTTTTTCATTCTAGCTCATGTGTAACATTGATATTAATTTTATATATTGAAATGATATCTACGCTTTATGTATTGCCCACTTTGGACCACATCTGTCCAGTAGTTTCTGGGAAATCTTAGTTTTAGTTGACTTTTGAATGTGCTCAAGTTGCGGCGCGTAAGGTATTATTATCGATCCCGACGTCCAAGGTAACTGCCGAGAGCCGAGATGCTAAACCAGTCCCAAAACATCAAATTTTTAGTTGCATGTGAATTTTAAGAACACATTTAAGCTAAGTTTGCACACATTTGAACTTCAGCGTTTCTATTTTTGGAACATCGGCGTTTCCATTTTTGGAAACTAAGTCTCCATAAATGGATACGATTCAGGAGCATTTTAAAGACGTGAATTTTAATGCATACGACAGCTTTCCATGCAAGAAGACAAGTGCTTTTGGTGTATCTGAGCTTGTTTTACGCGAAACAGTTGTTATACATCGAATCCAGCCACCCTTGGCAAGAAAATATGAGCGGAGATGTTAGCGTTTCTATTTATGGAACGAGCGTTTCCATTTTTGGAACAGAAGAGTAGTCAAAATTGGAAACGTTTCCAATAATAGAAACGTCTCCATAAATGAATCGGAGATACCACAGTGCGCCCGACTGAACTATTGTGATTTGTGATTTCTTGAAAAGGTTACAAAATGCTCTTCAATCTTCACAGATGAAATTAATGTATGAATGTAAAACAATTCAGCCCTAAAGACTAAGCTACTTGGTTTCATTGACAGTACCTGAGCCCAGTACTAGTACCTGCTGAGTAAAACTCTCACCTTTTAAAGAATGATATTAGATTCATGTATAATTTGAAAGAGCACTTCATTGTGAACATTTATTGGTGTCATCCTTCAAGGAACTAGGAAGGCTTCGTGCGAAAGCAAAGCAGGTTTCGCAAGTTCAATTGAGAGGGAATCAGGACAAGGAGAGTTGGCTACATTGCAAGTAAAATCTATTCAGTCAAGGATATTAAGATAACAGACACATTCAGTCCATGTCCATGAACCCACCACTTGCTACCTAATTGCCAAGCTAGCATACACAATCCTGGGAACGGGGAATCACAAACTTCACATATCAAGATATCTCAGAAACACAAAAAAGATCAGTTAAGTCCCACAAGAAATCTGAGTCTCAGTCTTGTATCCCATGTCACTTAGAGGAGAAAATAAAGGAAAAACAAACAAAAGATCAAAACATCAAAGCAAAAACAATTCATGGCCACTCATTCTTCGCTCCACTGATCTCACCTGACTCGGTTCAGGCTTCAGCATTCAGATAAAAAACTACAAATTTTAAATCTAATTGCTAATACTGTTCAGCAAATGTAAGTCACGACTCATTGAGCCCATTAAAAAATAACTGCATCCGAACCGACATAAAACGACCCACGTGTACTACGCATTCACCGCATTCGCACAAATATTGCATTCCTTTTTCCTCACAATGGATGAAACTTTCTTATATGTATTCTTTTTTCGCTTGTGGGCGCTCTTAGCCACCAACTGTGCAATCAACTACGCTGCTTTAAGTCATCTCTCCAAAAATAAGCAGCAAAAAACGCTTTCAAACATAAATAGCTGCTTCGTGAATGTCATAGCTGCGCAGGTAGCATCTTATCTTTTTTTTAATACGAAGTAGCTAATTTGTAATTGTGAAGTTTACATGTAAGGAATGTTGCAAAATATAACGAATTGCAAGATAATTATGAGTCAAATAAATTTTCTGGGCAGTATAACACAGGTATTTTTGGAAGTTTTTTCAACAAGATTTGCTACAATAGCAGTTGTCGTTGTCCCGGCTGTGTTTTTATCAACCGGGTGCAGATGGGCAGAGAGTAGTAAGACCATCTTATTACTATTGTTGCCTATTGGTTTTGTCTACCGCTCACCACTGTGAATTGTGATACACCGACGAGCACCAATCCTCGGTGCCAGTGAAGTTTGTGCGCTCTTAGCCCTTTCGGCCCATTTAAACTGCGTGGTTTCACTGGCTGACTTCGATTGAGCCAATGTAGCGCATCCTGCACATTCGGCGCTGAAGGATGCAGCTTGTTGTCGTCCTTTGGTAGCTGTGACACCACTCCAGTGTCACTCGCTGTGCCCTGCTCGTGCAGGCTGCACGCCCCCGAGGTACGTAAGATCGCTGATTACAATAGTTGTGCCTTCGCGCTTAGTGGTTGTCTGAAAAATCGATTATTTGATAGCGAGAGTGCTGACTGCTGCGTTTCCTCGAGTTGTAAGCTCTAATGTTCGTAAACTAACAGCTCTGTCTGAGTAAGTAACCAGGTAAGGTAAGTAGCCAGATAAGCTTGGTAAGTAACCAGCAGTCCTTTGCGTAGCGTCCGTCTGATGCTAAGCGCAAAACCCCTGATGCGCCGGTTCATGTCCGTCTCCAGTGCCGCCCAGTGCAGGTAACCGTGCGGCTCTCCGGACAGGTGCGGCGGCCGGCGCGGGGCGGCGCAGGCGCAGAGCATGGACTTCCTCTACAGCAGCCTGCTGCACTCGGCGCTGGTCGCCGTCCCGGCCCGGCGGCGGTCCGTGCTGCGGACCGACAGCAGTGGCCGCCGGTACCGCCGTCTGCCGGGGCCGGCGCCGCCGGCCGCCGTGCCGCCACCTCTCGCCACCCTGTGGCCTGGAGACGGCCTGCCCTACCTGACTTGACCACCCCTTCCTTCGACCAACCCGGTCCCCGCCCTCCGAGAGCCACCGGGTGCGTCCGAGTGTGAAAAGGTTGAATCGATAAGCTGAACTTTCGGGAACGTGCAGCCGCCCGGCCGGGTTTCGGTAATGATTGAAGTTCGCCACCGTCTCGTAATTTCGGGGAGGTCAAAGTTCAGTGTCCCGGTCGCTGGGCTAAAAGCCTACCTACTGTCCGCATCAGGAAGTAGGCACCTTATGAGCGTAGGGAGGCATAAGCCTTGGTCACATATACACTGACCTCAACTCGAGCCAGTAGCCACAACCTTATTCACTCCACCTGTCTTTCAACGATAACAAATGCATTTTCTCCGGACCACTTTCTGCATTACGCAACTCTGCCGCTAGAGTGACAACGATTTTGTAATACAGTGGGGTTATCTGTAAAACCGATGTATTTGTTGGTACATAGGAAACATCTGTAAAAATATTCATAGAAACTTTTAAGTACACATTTACAAACCCGGTAAAACCAGTGAAAAATATCGCTCTAACAAGCAGCTGGAATACCATCTCCTTGAACAGGTGACGGGCGAGGCCGACTCGCGCGCCGGCACCTCGCAGCGGAATACGATGGACGGCAAAGTTACCATGGAATGCTGAGCATCGGAAACGAACGGAAGCTCGCAGCGCACCACACTTTAAGTTATCGTACATATCATACATACACAAGACGAGCTTACATAAATCGGCTTAAATCGCGCATGATATTCACATTCTTTACAGTCCTGCGCTGGTAAGTCAACGATCCCGACATACGAATCACGAGAAAGGTTACTGTACGGTTGCTCTATCGGCCAGTCACTACATGTTGTCACTACCGGGGAATCATCCATCTTATGATCACATTTGTAACGCTGCTTTGTAAAAATACCAGTGTAAATACATTATAGAACTTCCAGTACAACACTTGTACTCGATTACTTGTAGCCAATTAATAAAAATACGTTGTACGAACCCGAATCAGATCATGGACTGTTCGTTTCGGGCCGTCTGATGACCCCACCGTCAAGATGAGTATGATTGGGGCGTGAACAGGCCGATGGCCGCGGGCCCCGCCACGGCTGACGGGGATCTCGCTGAAAGTGACGCTCCACCAAATAGAGGGTTACTCCGTCTAGCGACAGTCACCAAATCCAGAGGCTAGTCCGTCACTAGGCGATCCCGACACAAATGCCGCCGACTATCGAGCACTTTTCCAGCCAGCCAGCGCTGGCGGCACTGTACCCAGTCGGGCGCAGGTGGCGTCAGTCAGTCCACCCCGTTCACGTCACCGCAGGGCGCACGGCGCGGCGTACACGGGAGCTGCGGTCCGTGCGACCGGCTCACACACAGCGTTCGCACCGCACTGTGCCGACATTAGCGCCCGGCACCGACACCACCGTCCGGTGACAGGTCCATGGGCCACTGCTGGACTGGATAGTGGCGGCGACACTAAGCTGAGTGGTCCGAGCGTCCCCCACAGCCGCTCGGACGGTCCTCGGCGACACGCGCTCTGTCCACTGACACAGCCAGTCAGCCGGACGGCAGCCTTTCAGCAGTTCGTGTGTGGCAGCGCGGAGCGGTTCCCGGTATACCCGTCCGTCTCAAACACTGAGACTCTGCCGCCGGGTGACATCCGCTGAACTCCGGCTGACGATGGTGGGTGCGCCACCTACATGATGGCGTCCAGCCACTTGTCGGCCGGCGCCAGCACCACCATGCACACCAGCAGCGCCACGAACAGCATGTTGATGACGATGTAGATGCCGAGCACGGTGCGGCGCAGCGTGGAGCCCTGCGGCAGGACGAGAGGTCACATCAGTAGACGAACAGAGACGCTGTCAGACAAGCGGAGACACAGGGTTACGCTATCAGACGAACAGAGACACGGACGGAGACACGGATACGGAGTTGCTATAAGTCGAACATAAGATATTATGTGGGACTGCCCGGCTTCGAATGCAACAGAGGTGAACAAACCCGTGAGAATGGCAATAACACGTGGGAACGCAATGCAAAACGTTCCTTATGTTACGTGCCGTCAAGTGTCAACAATTCCACCTACTGTAGCGTTTACGAGCAGAGAATATCGCTTGGCGCCGGAAATGTCTCTGAAACTCCGCGAAACTGGAGTTGGTGCCGTATAACTGTCACAGCACATACTGCTACTGGACTAGCCACGGCACACCCAGCGCTTTGTGAATATGGCCAAACTCAATATTCACCCAGCTTTGACCCTTTCCACCCCGAACCATCGCGCAAGATTATAGAGCATGGCCACGTTAAGCCCAGACCCTTTAACGGTATCGCTAATGCGGTAAACTGAACTGAGGCGGCATCGTAGCCCCTAGACCCCTATATCACCCATCAGTGATATGATTTCGGAATACAACATCCTACACTTGTGCTGTGGCGTCAGCCAGGTTCACTCACGGGTGCCTCCTGCGGCCGGTCGGCCTGGTAGACGTGGTAGCTGTTCATGCCCATGTCGCGCATATTGTACGCCTCTCCGCCGCGACCCTTGTCGCTCCTCATCGCGCGGTCCGAGCAGCACTGCGCCAGCTGGAAAACAGAGGGTTAAATTAGACGTCATGAGTGACCCCAGACAAATCAGCAGGAAACACAAGATGGGCCATCATTAGCTGATGCAGTCCTTTCACACTATTTGTGCGACAGCTTTTACGCAGATCAGCGGCTAAGACAATCCCCCTGATGAAATGATTAGACATAGCACGTAACTGGTGACTCCCAGTGCGCCCGTCGCACCGCCCACTCATCTCTGTCCACTCCGTCTACTCACCGAGAGGATGAAGTGGGTGAGCACGTGGAACACCACGAAGGCGGCCAGCACCCAGTAGGTCCAGTCGGGCAGCTTGGCGGCCGGCAGCTCGACGGCAAAGAACACGGCCGCCACGCCGAGGATGTGCGCCGCCGAGCCGACCATCCAGTGCAGCCAGTTGAAGATGGCGCGGCGCGGCGCGCCCGGGTGGCACCGGCACATGGCCATCAGCGGCTGCAGCAGCGCCAGCGCCACGCACAACACGCCCAGCAGCGGGTGCGGGCTGGCGCCGGGCGCGCCCAGCAGCGGCGTGCTCGTCCAGCCGCCCAGCTGCAGCACGATGCACACCAGGCCGCCGATGGCCAGCAGCACGGTCAGCATCATCAGCGTCCGGTGGCCCTGGAACCACAGGTCCAGGCCGGCCAGCTTGCGGCCCGCCCACGTCTGTTTGTAGTAGCGCGCCAGCAGCATGCCCGTGCTGGCGGTGCCGATCCAGGCGCCGATCATGAGCGCTCCGTGGAGCCGGAACAGCAGGCTGCTCTGGCCGGCGGCGGCCGCCCGCGACTGCAGCTGCACCGGGCCGCCGCTGGCCCGGCGCACAGAGTGGTAGCCCGGACCGCCCGCGTGCGCTGCGGAGGGACACGACACGGCAGGGGTTAGAGACGGGCACACCAACACTCAACGGGACCTGCAGCCGAGGCATAACAGGCGAATGTGATTCGGGTGCAGACGTGACTAAAACAGGTCTGCTTTTAGCACTCACGAAAACACCTTGTCCATAATCAAAGCATAAGGGTCCTGACAGAGGAGTTCGTAAACCGCTTGCCAACACCAGATGATGAAGGCGTGGAAAAGGACGGCAGCAGAGATCACCCACAGGCCACTCCGGTACTGACCTAACCGCGCTAACTCTCCCCGTACTGACCCAGCCCGCACTGACCACCCTGCTATAACTGACCTGGTCCGCTGGTCGCTCCGATACTGACCCAGCCCGCACCGACTTACTAGCCTGGACCGCTGGTCGCTCCAGTACTGATCCAGCCTGCGCCAACTCTCCCCGTACTGACCTGGCCCGCTGGCCACCATCAGGTGCAGGTCCGAGGAGGACAGATCCACCGGCCGGCGGTCCACCGTGAACCGCGCCGCGTGGGAGAACTCGCAGCGCAGGAAGCCGTCACGGTACTCGGTGCGCACGTCAGACACCAGGTCGCCCTCCTGAAGAATGGGCGAGAGTTTAATAACATGAAAAATCGGCCCGACACGGGGCAAGCACGCATAAATTTCACGAACAACAAATTCACAATCCTAATGAATGCAGTGAACGAGTTGAGCGTTTCACCATTGAGCCACCGCCGAAATGCCGTAGGCTATACTGTCGCCCCAAGCCCGTGGCGCGCTCGGACAAAAGCTCACCTCGGACTCCGGTTCGACGACCACGGCCCGCTTCGGCACGGCGTTGTTGTAGGCGTGTTTGACCGCGAAGCCGCCCGCGCCGTCGTCGGAGCAGTAGATCACATCATCGTCTCCCTGACGAGGGGAGAGAAAATAGGGCGAGGTCAAAGGCAGCTCACGACGTCGGTACCTGCGGCGGATAGCCGTCAGTATCATCGTACTTAGAATGCCATGAAACCACACGGAGGTAACATGGGAGCCAGATGGCATCTTCATCTCATCCCCGCGATAACTGCAGTAAATTAGCCAGGATGGTAATGGCAAACCCCCAATTCCTGTACCACAGACCGCAGATATACACCGGTATTCTGCCGCCTGCCCGCCAGTCCCCGCCAGCACTGAGCTTGCTCTGTCCGCCGTCAGATGTCGGTGCGGGCGCGCTCACCATGAACTGGTCTGTGGAGAAGCCGACAGCCAGGTAGCCGGGCGCCTGGTGGCCGCCGTACAGCTGCAGCTGGTAGCGGCCGTCCGGGCGCAGCGCGTACGTCACCAGCACCTCGCAGCTGCGCGACTCCACGCAGCCGTCAGCGTCGGCGAAACAGCCGACCGAGCGGCCGCAGCCGTCGTACACGGACGCCAGAGCGCCGCCGTCCCCGTCAGCCGCGGCGCCGTCACAGTCCTGCGCAGGAAAATAGCAGCGGGAGTTACATAACAGCGGATCTTCAGTGCACGGGGATTTTAAAAAGGGCCACAGACTCACAATGTTGTTAGGGGCTGATGGGACACGGCAAGCATTCCAACTCGCAGCCAGTACCGATCAGCGGATAATCCTCTGCTATGTGCATTTTTATGTTCGTTGATTTACCTACTCACTCAATTTATGCTTGTCAGTATTGTGCAGTGTCGAATTTCATAATTATTTATGTTGTGTCGTGAATTTAGTTGCGCTGTTCAGTGTTCGTATCAGCTGCGCCAGAATTGTGCGAGGTTGCTTTGTTATTTTTAGGGAAGACCCAAGTCGTGTCAGCTGATTGCAAATTCCGAACCGGCGCCAATGTGATTTGTAAAATGTAGACGTTTCATGCCCACGCGTTGTAGTCGTGCTTAGTTTCTTATTTGATAGGCACTATAATTGTAAGAATGCTCACCGCCCTCTCGTCTTGTGTTTAGTCACGGCATCGGCCCACTACTAAGTCCGGGGTGGACTTCCGGTAATGGCGGCGTAGGCGTTGGTCACGTGGGTTTTTGGCATCTTGTTGTGCGGCGGCCAGAATACATGTCCGGCAGTTCCGGTGATTGTTTTCGGCCGCCCGCCTCTCACGAGGCCACAGTGAAGAGGCAACACAACAAAGTGGCGACTGAGGACTTCGAACAGTGATTTTTCACCATGGATTTCGCGGCGGCTCCCGCGCCGTTTTTGCCCACCGCTGGAGCTGAGCCGGCGATTCCCTGGCCTCGGTGGGTCAGGATGTTTGAGAACTTTTTGTGTGCGGTCGGAGGTGACGCTTTCCCTCCCGCACGTCGCCAAGCTGTCCTCCTGACTTGTCTAGGGACGGAGGGGCAGCGGGTGTTTGAGAATCTGCCACCCATGGAGAAGCTGGAAAGCGAGGACGACTTCCAATGGTGCCTGCGCCGCCTCGAGGCCCATTTCGCTCCCAAACAGAATGTTTGTGTTGAGCGCTACCGCTTTCGCAGCCGGGGGCAGCAACCAGGTGAGACCACCAGCCAGTGGGTCTCCGTGCTGCGCCAGTTGGCCAGCACGTGTGAGTACGGTGCCCAGATGGACGAGTTTATCAGGGACCAGGTGATTGAGAAGACCGTGAGCTCTAAGCTGAGGCAGCGGCTTCTCATGGAAGGGTCAGGTCTGACTCTGGAGAAGACCCTGACTCTGGCCGACACCCTGGAGTCTGCTGAACGAGAAGCAAGGGTGATCGAGGGACCAGCCGTGCCTGTGCCTGTCCAGGCCCTGCAGCCACAGAAGTTTCAGCGAGGGGGGTCCAGACGCCGACGCTCCGGCCCGGTCCCAGCCCAGCAGCAGGAAGGACGGCAGCAGCTTCCGCAGGGGAGGCAGCAGCAGCCGAGACGGCAGCAACCACAGCAGCAGACAGCAGGCCCTGAGTGCTGGGGCTGCGGGCGCCCTGGACATCGCAGAGGTGACCGCAGCTGCCCAGCGTTCGGTAGGAAGTGCTCCAAGTGCGGTAAGACCAACCACTTTGCCCAGCACTGCGGTGCTAGTGTGGTTTCTAGTGTCCAGGTGCTAGCTGTTGGGGCTAGTGCCGTGCCGCTGACCCTTGATGCTGAGGTAGAGGGGCTCAAGGTAACTTTCACTGTGGACTCAGGGTCTCCAGTTTCCATCCTGCCGAGGGACTCGGTGCAGGGTGATCTCGGGGCAGCCGAGGAGAGCCTTTGTGCCTACGGGGGGAGCGTGCTAAATGTGCTGGGGGTGAAAAGTGTTCATGTGTCATGCCGGGGGAAAACCGAGTTGGTCAAAGTGTATGTTGTGCCGTCAGGACGCGCTCTGATGGGCCTTGACCTGATGGAAGTGTTTGATGTTTGTATTGTGGGCAACCGTGTGTGCAGTGTGTCCACCAACCCCACCTGTGTGTCCTCTCCTGAGCCTGCCCAACCCACCAGCCCTCCTGACGAGCTACCAGCCTCTCCGGGGGCCCAACCCGCTATCCTTGGGTACCAGCACCGAGTGACAGTTGACCCAGGGGTACCACCAGTGCGCCAGCCACTGCGCCGCCTGCCTTTGGCTGTGCTGGACGCAGTGAGTGCCCGGATTGATGAGCTGGAGGCCCAGGGCGTGATTGAGAAGGTGAGCGCGTCTCCCTGGATCTCACCACTGGTCGTTGGCAGGAAACGGGACGGTGCCATCCGCCTCTGCGTTGACATGAGGAGGGTGAACCAGGCGGTCATCACGGATGGTCATCCTCTCCCGAGGATTGAGGACGTTCTCGATCGGCTCCGTGGTTCGCTGATGTTCTCCAGGCTGGACCTGAAGGACGCGTACCACCAGCTGGAGCTGCATCCCGACAGCCAGAACCTGACCACGTTTGTCAGCCACAAGGGTTTGTACCGGTTCCGCCGGGTAAACTTTGGTCTGGCGAGTGCCGGCCCTTGTTTTCAGAGGGTGATGACGTCGATGCTGGAGGGCATCCCCGGGGTGGAGGTGTACCTCGACGACATCATCATCCACGCACCGTCCCAGGCGGAGCATGACGCTCGCCTGAAGCAGGTGCTGCGGCGGTTGGAGGACCACCGTGTGAAAGTGAACTGGTCCAAGAGTGCCACCGGCTGCCGTGACATTGATTTCCTCGGTTACAGGATCTCAGCGGCCGGTGTGCAGATCGACCCAGGGCGGATCAGTCCGCTGCTGGAGGCTCCAGAGCCACAGGACGAGAAGGGCCTCCGCGCCTTCCTGGGAGCCACGGGCTACCACGCCCGTTTCATGCCGCGGTACTCGGACCTGGTCGAGCCGCTGCGAGCTGCGCTGCGCGCTGACAAGTTCGAGTGGTCGCCGGCGCTGTCCAGCGCCGTCCAGCGCGTCAAGGACGCCATCCGTCAGTCACCGGCGCTGGGTATGTTCGACCCCGCGCTCGCCACGGTGCTGACGACCGACGCCAGCGACGTCGGAGCAGGCGCGTGTGTGACGCAGATCGACGCCTCGGGGTCGCCCAGGGTCATCGCGTACGCGTCTAAGTCGTTCTCTCCGGCCGAGCGTAACTACTCCACTGTGGAGAAGGAGGCGCTGGCCGTGGTGTGGGCCTGTGAGAAGTTTCGCCACTATCTCTGGGGGCGGAAATTCACTCTGCGCACGGATCATCAGGCTCTGTGTACCATTTTCGGTCCCAAGGGTTCCACGCGCGTCGGCCGGCGTGTCGCGCGGTGGGAGGCCCGCCTGCTCGAGTTTTCTTTCGACGTTGAGTACGTCCGCTCGGAGCGGAACACCGTGGCCGACGGCCTGTCACGGCTGCCGGTAGCCGAGACCTGGTGGCCGGATGATGACGATCTCCAGATTGCAGCTCTGACGGTGGCAGCAGCCATCTCTGAGGAGGAGCTCAGTGACGCCTCGGCGGCCGACGAGTGTCTCAGCGTCGTCCGTGGGTACGTGTCCGGGCAGTGGCCCCGCCAGAGGGACGTTGACCCCCGAGCAGCTGGTTTCTTTCAGGTACGGGACGAGCTGTCCGTACACGGCCAGCTGCTGCTCCGCGGTGACCGGCTGGTGGTGCCAGCGGCGCTGCGCGAGCGCGTTCTGACTAACGCGCACGCGGGCCACCAGGGGGTGGTCCGCACAAAACAGCGGCTTCGTGAGCGTTTCTGGTGGCCGCGCCTGGACCGGCAGGTGCGTGACCTGCTGAAGAGCTGTGAGGTCTGCTCTCAGCACGATGGGCACGTGCGGAGGGAGAGGCCGCCCCTCCAGCCCATCCCACTCCCAGATGGACCGTGGCAGCGCCTCATGGTGGACGTGATCGGTCCCATGAGAGGTTCGTCGTCTGAGCGCTACGGCATTGTGCTCGTCGATATGTACAGCCGGTGGCCGGAGGTCGCGCTCTGCCAGGACGCGACGGCAGACAGTATCTGCCAGTTCCTGGAGACAGTGTTCGCTCGCGAAGGTGTGCCGCTGGAGCTACTGTCAGATAACGGCCCTGCGTTCCGGTCGGGCCGACTCGCCGAGTTTTTGGGTCGCATGGACGTCAAACAGACGTTTAGTTCGCCCTATTCGCCGCAGACCAACGGCATGGTCGAGCGGCTGAACCGGACGGTTAAGGAAGCCATCCAGTCGGCTCGCTTGGCGAGGGAGCCGCGCTCGACGTTTGTCAGAAAGTTCCTGGGTGAGTACCGGGTCACGGTCCACCCGGCGACCGGAGTGTCGCCCTTTGTTTTGATGAGGGGGCGGGAGGCGCGGACGATTCTCGATGTGACCCCGTCCGATGTGACCCCGTCCGGCCGTGCTGCCGAGGATCGAGCTGTCCGGCAGCATCACCAGTCGTACCAGGAGACCTACAGGGCCCGGTATGACCGCACCGCCACGGCCGCCCCGCGATGGGAAGCTGGCGACTGGGTGCGAGTACGGAAGCCCGGGACGGGCCGGGTCGAGGGGCAGCGCTCTGTGCAGGTGAGCCGCAGGACCGGTCCGGTCAGCTACAGGCTGGCCACAGGTGAGCGGGTGCATGCCAGGCGCCTGGTACCGGGCCGCCCGGGGGAAGCTGATCGCGAGGTGCCGGTGACCTTTTACCCAGTCGGGGGCGAGCCCGAGCCTACTGACCCAGCCCCTGTGACCGTGGACCCCGCTCCTACCGATGATGTGTGTCCCGAGCCGCCCAGGGGTACCAGTCCTGTCCCAGCGGCGCCAGTCGGTGCCGCCTCTGACGAGCATGCGGCCCCGCGCCGCAGCCGTAGGGTGCGTAGGCCGCGGAAGCGTTTCTCGCCGTAGGTTAGGCGAGTTTGCGCGTGTACAGTTTAGCTCAGCACCGTACCTGTGCCTGGGTGTTTTCATAGGGTGTGTTTTCCCTCAAAGAGAGGGGTGGTGTTGTGTCGTGAATTTAGTTGCGCTGTTCAGTGTTCGTATCAGCTGCGCCAGAATTGTGCGAGGTTGCTTTGTTATTTTTAGGGAAGACCCAAGTCGTGTCAGCTGATTGCAAATTCCGAACCGGCGCCAATGTGATTTGTAAAATGTAGACGTTTCATGCCCACGCGTTGTAGTCGTGCTTAGTTTCTTATTTGATAGGCACTATAATTGTAAGAATGCTCACCGCCCTCTCGTCTTGTGTTTAGTCACGGCATCGGCCCACTACTAAGTCCGGGGTGGACTTCCGGTAATGGCGGCGTAGGCGTTGGTCACGTGGGTTTTTGGCATCTTGTTGTGCGGCGGCCAGAATACATGTCCGGCAGTTCCGGTGATTGTTTTCGGCCGCCCGCCTCTCACGAGGCCACAGTGAAGAGGCAACACAACAATTTAGAACAGTCACTTGACTGGGACAACAAATTTGCCCGGAGTTTGAAAATCAGCCTACGATCGCCGACACGCCATCCTGCAGGGCTTTGGAGACCCCGGGCTTTGGAGACCCCGGGCTTTGGAGACCCCGGGCTTTGGAGACCCCGGGCTTTGGAGACCCCGGGCTTTGGAGACCCCGGGCGGCCGAGGTGTCCGCAGTCGGCGCGCGTTGGCGGCTGTTACGGTCAGGTGCCGGTGGTCGGCTGCCGCCGTGACCGCAGCTCGAGTAGGAGGTGGGGCTGCCTAACGGCACGTGCCAGGTCATGGACATTGGACTGCCCGGCCGCGGTGCATAGTCGGACGTGCACATTGCACAGGGAGTGGGCACGGAAAATGTCCGACCATCAAACATGGTGTGAGGTGTGACGTATTTTCTTTGGGCCCGTCACTGGGCAACAAAACACATAGTGAAGTTCAGGTTCCAGTAAAAAAAAAAGGATCTAGCGTTTGCACTTAGCAGGGTGCCTTATCCGAAACTGGAATAGCAACTACACTTGACCATCAAACATGGTGTAGGTACTTTTTAAGAAAAAAGTAAGGATATTTTGTGAGCGGCCCTCTCGGCGCAGTGCGGGCCGGAAGCAGTCGGGACCCGGGAGGGGGCAGTGGCCGGGACGGTGACACAGCTCCGGTGTCCGGTAGACAGAACGGGAGCGTGCAGCATGCCACTGACACGACATGGCACGGCGTGACACGCCGAGACATGACACGTCAGGGGGAGCAGCAGAGCGAGACGCCGGCGTCCGAACGCTGATAGCTCTACCAGCACGGACACAATTACCAGCGCACGGACAGCACACAGTCGCACACCAGACGCACCGATACAGCACACTCGGTTCACAGCTACAACATTGGAGTGACGCAGGCGCCTGTCGGGACATCAGCAGCTCCCAGTCGGCTGCCCCTGGTGTGAGCGGGACGTACCTCAGTGCAGGGCGCGGACGTGTTCTCTTCAGCGGGTTCGGCGGGCACGGTGGGCACAGCGGCCGACTCCTCCACCCTCTGAAAGGTCGGTGCACGTCAGGGAGTGTCCAAAAGAACACGGACGTAGTGAAAACAGACAGTCCGCGAATGTACTATATCGGAGAAAACAGCAGTCCATAAATGACGTAAATCGGAGAAACCAGACATTCTTCTGGCGTCGAAAAATAGTTATGTAGCAATAACATAACACGAAACACGGTAAAAGAAACACGACATGATCAACATGACAAAGCAAACCGGTTCGTAAGCCGCCGGTGATTGTGAGCACGCAAGTTGATTCACATTCATTTTCTCGTCGTCGCTTTGTAGAAAACTACAAAGGATGACTCATCGGACATTCTCATTCAGTGTGAATCACGCAAGGCGGGGATCTAAGGGCGGGCACGTATAACATTATCCCACTGGCAGACACGAACCATACAGCCCGCGGCTAGCTCAGGTGAAGCCCCACCAACAGAACTAACATCCCGTCGGCAGAGATCAGTGAAGTCAGACATGGTCTATGACGTCACCGGCCACCACTCACCCGGTCCTCCTGCTGCAGGTCCTGTTCTGGCGCGGTGGGGGCCGGGGCCGGCGGCGCGGTGGGGGCCGGCTCGGTCGGTGTCGGCGCCGGCTGGGTCGGTGCCGGGACAGGACTCCGGGTCGGCACGGGCGGCACCTCGACCGCCGGCTCCTCGGGCCGCGCCTCGCGCAGCACACGGATCACCGGCGTGTCGTGTCCCACCCAGAACGTGCTGTACTCCTGGACGACGGAGACGCGGAACAGGACGTCCCGGTCCAGATCGGGCGGCGAGAGCCACAGCAGCGTCACCGACTCCTTCACCTTGTTGTCCGCGTGGCTGATGCCGTTCTGCGGGCACGAACGAAAAGAGCACCGGTGTGAGCACACTTAAGACTCGGGTGAACGGTCAAAGGGAAGGGGTGGCGAGACGGATGGAATGCGTGAGCAAAGCCCGTCCAAATGCCCACGTAGTCTTCCACAATTTGACGCAAGAAGTTACCTGGTGTGGCGAGAGGGAAAGGCAGGCGGGAATTCGGATTGTAAAGGCCGAGGTCAGTGATAGCGACATTTACAAACGATTCGAACAAGACAGAAACGCGGGAACCAGAGAACAACAGAGCTTCATGGTCCGGCAGTGGGGAATGACGGGAGTGACATTTTAAAGAGAGACCAGGAAATGGCGGACCATTTAGAAGATAACAGAACGCCCAGGAGGCGTGCTAGGCTCGTTAACCTGACGAAAGGTCGCACCCAGCCGTGAAAGTGAATCCTTCTTACAAGGCTGCTGCCCCCCATCCCCGAAAACTTTTACACCGTTCAGCTCCACATCGACTATCAGCTTTACGATCAGATCAGGGAGCGCTCCCGGATACCAAGTACTTACATCCTGACCTGCAACCTGCAGTGCGTTTTTATCATGTACTGAGCGCGCTCGGACAACACGTAACACATAGTCTGTCTGTCTGTCTGACCTGCCATTGCGGTGCATTTTTGTCATGTACTGAGCGCGCTCGGACAACACGTAACACATCAATCTGTCTGTCGTTTGACGCATTTTTACTCTGTCACCGCACAGCGAGCACCACAGCCTAGTCGTGCCAGCACTGCTACTTACAGGACCGCAGTCATGCCATCAGTACTGGCCCTCAGACCAGCCCTCAGCCCGGCCCGCAGTCCGTCCCTCAATGCCGTCCCTAAGTACCGTCCCTCAGCCCCGAGTCCTCGCAGGCCGCGGTCGGCGGCTCACCTCCTCGCCGGGCTGGCAGCTGACGGTGGTGTGCTGCCGGGTCATGAACCGACCCAGCGCCGGCGACGAGTCCGGATCGTCGGCGTAGCGCACCTGCGCGAAGAACCCCTTGAACGGCAGCTGGTTACCGCGGCTGATCGTGATCGTCATCCTGGAACACGCGGAGACAAACGGCGAGTCAGACACGAGTAACGACAGGTGGACGCGGCCAGAACGGGTGTTCTCAGTTCAGAGCAAGATGATGAGACGCCGAGATGTCTTCCTGTCCAACCAATAAATTCCAGCGTAGTTTTCGACATGTACAGTGAATGGCAGCTTTCGATTGCAAACGGAAACATTCAGTGGCTAATCCCCTGACTGAGCCAGTGGCTGATTTTGCGGTCCGAATGACCACGCCGCGGGCTGCGTCTTGCGACCTGCCGGATGTTGCCTCCCCTGCCGTGAAAGGCTCATGATCACACGAGCCAGCCATTAGTGCTGCCCGGCTGCGTCCACTCTCACTGCAGCGCGCAACACTCGCCTTGAGTTAATCGGTCATCAGAGTCGCCATTCACTCTCCACCAGCTCGACATGGCCCCCGGGATATCCATCCACTCTCTACCCAGCTCAGATGAGCGCAGTCGCCCAATCTCGCACTAACCGTCACTGAATCTCGCAGTCGGATCTCAAAGGACCTCACAGATACAATCAGACGCGGCATCGAGGCATGACACACTTATCAGGCACTGCTGCAATATTTTGATAGTTTTAAGTGTCTTATTCGGTACTGGTTGGGGCACCGGGCCTGGGAACCATGATGGTTTCGCCACTGTCACTGACCGTATCGTCCTATGCACTCTCACGTTGCGTGACTATGCACCGAACATTATGAACATGATATCACACTTTTCCCTACAGCATGGCCGTGACCAATTCAGACTTTTAGGCCCGGGTGCGCGTAAAGCACCGCACGCGAGCTGAACTAGATCACCGAACTGCGTGCTTCCACGGCGACCAATCGATCAGGCGACATAGCCGTCTTCGTAAAAAAAAACAGGGGTTCTGCACACAGTTAGACAAAGTAAGTGACAGGAACAGATGTCAACATTCGCCTAGCGGTAGCACCGCCGACGCGAGGCGGGAAAACATTGACATCGCCATCGAGTGCCGCTACGAGCAGCGGTGACCCGCCGATCGCTGCCACAATCGCCCTCGTGACCGCTGATCAGCGCCAATTGTCCATTGTTCAATTATTCGTGGTTCACGAGAAAACTCGGCCGCACTGCGTCACACCAGGACAAACAGGCGTTCGCTCGGTCCCGTAAGTGCCGTGAGAGCAGACCGGGCCGTGACGCGGCCACCCACCACCTCCAGATCTCTCAGCTTTACCCTGTTCTCCGAACTCGCTCAACCACGAGAAAAATCCACTCTTTAAACGGACGGAATCCAGCCATGGCTAAGGAATGATCGGATCGCGCTGTTAAAATTTCAAAGCTCCAGCCTGTCATAACCCGGTCAGTTTACCTAACCACATGGCTAGGCTCGGTTCATTGTGCAAACTGCAAAACATAGCGAAACCAGCGGCGCACAGGCATAGCCAGTGGGAGCGGCCTGACATCAGCGCATTTTATACCGTGGACGATCTGAGTGAACTCGGTGCGGCCGGCCTGGCGCGGCGTCTGGACGTGCGCTACAGACGGCGTGTGGCGGCACGGGCAGCAGCCACGGCTGCCCTATTTATACAGAGAACAGACGGGCCCGGCGTCACGTGCTGGTGACCACAGTCGTGTGACCAGCCGAGTCCAGACCGACCACAAGTGCAGACACTAGACAGACCGGCGATCTCATTCCAGACCAGGCGACGAGGACTGATCGAGCCACCAGACCAGACTATTGGCCTGCAACTGCAAAACCGAACCGAGCCATGGGTTCGAACCGGGTATTGGTTCAGACGGGTTAGGTGTCCACTACGAAATAACTAGTCCAGGCGCACCGTGAGCGAAGAACGGACCGCGAGTCCAACCGAGACACGACTCCAAACCGGCTCTATTCGCACATGTATCACTCGACGGTGTGCGCCAGTGCCGCGGCAGATGAACCCACCCCGAGCGGCCGCTATTAGGTGACCCGTTCTGGTAACGGCGCTCGGTGGCACGTGATCCGTCCGAGCGCATCTGATGAATACATTACGGGGGCACCACGGTGTCCGTCTCAGGCGACCTGACCCAGATGGTACAGGGACGGCCATTACGCGCGTGGACTCATCTCTACCGACTGACATCCTAAGGCGGAGTGGACCAAGTTTTCCAGTGTCCACCGTCAGGCTGTATAGACATTGCCTCTGAGTGGGTAGTGGTACTGAGCGCCGCTATTGGGGCAGGGGGGTACGCTCCGGCTGTTTAGCATTACGAAAAATGGTGACAGACGTTTGTGGAGGATTGTCGACGAACTCTTGTTCCGCGAGCAGTACTTACACGCTAGCGGAAAATTCACCAATCAGCGCTCGGCAGTACTCGACGCTGATTGGTCCGACGCTCGTGACGAAATTGCGGGGGACCGCAGTTATTCTCTATGGACCCGAATAGGCTTTTGGATTTCGGAGGAGTTTCTTTAAAATTATATGCTGTTTGGAGCTGTTTTCGAGTTGAAATATATTTCTTATGACTGTTAGCTATATAATGACACCATAAAATCATGATTTTAATAAATATTACCGATGTAATATCGGCCGAAAAGACATGCTGTCATGGCACGGACTGCCCTGCGGCTGATGTGGGGCCCCTAGTGCCAGCGTATGGTAATAATGGGTTGACGAAGGGTTATTGGAGAAACTTAGAGCCCCTTTAGCATTCAGTATAGGGTCATCAGAGGCCGGGAATGTACATCAGGGGTCTGAGTAGGCCTGTCATAGGGGCATACATGACACATCATGGCCCATGGGTCAATGTAGATCCATTAGGGGCCGTTGAAGGGCCATCATTGTTCAGCGTGGGCTCGCAATTACCTCTGATGGGCATATGCCGTGCCCCGATGGACTAACGCTGGCCCCTGATGAACCATCACCAGCCCCTGATAGGTCTACAAAGCCCTCTGCTGGGTCCAAATTGGTCACTGATATGCCCAAATGGGCCACTGAGAAACCCGTACAACATCCCCTGACTGCACCTGCTGGACCAATGCCGTCCCCTCATGGGCCCACCACAGCTCTTGAATGACCTTTTCAAGTCCCCTGAAGTGCCTTTATTGGCCTAAATGGCCCCTGATTGACTGATGTGGTCCCTATTGGTCCTATATGGTCCCCATGAGCCCTCAACGTCGGCCTAGACAGCCTTACATTATATGCCACTGGGCCCTGTTGGGTCAGCACCGGCCCCCGATAGGCTTGCACACTGGACCCACCGGGCCTATACCGACCCATGAAGGGTCTATGTCGAACCCTCACGGACCTCCGATGACCACACGCCGACATGTGTGGCCCCATCAGCAGTGGTCCGTCTATCCCATGTACTTACGGTCTTTTTGGCCGATGTGACACCGGTAGTATATAGAATGTCATGATTAAATGTCGTTATTACACAGTCAAAAGTCACAGAAAGAATATCCAAGCTCAAAAATGGCCTCAAACCCAACAAAAACTGGTATAAATCCCCTTCAAAAGCCGTAAGTCTATTAAACGCCATAGGGGAATAGCTACAGTCCCCCGCAATTTCGTCACGAGCATCGGGCCAATCAGCGTCGAGTATTGCCGAACGCCGATTGGTCGATTTCCGCTAGCCTGTAAATGCTGCTTGCGGATATAGTTTTGAACAAGTGAGGGTCGCGGCTACTAATTATCGCTTGTCACCACTTTTTCGTCGGGAACGTTCTACCTGGTTTATATAGCCTTGTATTGGGGGCAGTAAAACCCGACATTGGGCGGCAGCAGCTCGCCAGGTGGCGTCAGCGCCGCTCACGTCACCACCACAAATCGGCCGCTGCCGTCACCGCCCGGCACAGCCGGCGAGTCACCGGCAGCCAAGGCTACCTGAGATGTCAGACGAACCGCGGCGGGGATAACAGTACCGGTGAGTCGGCTTTGGTGGGCGCCACAGCCATCAGCAGACCGCCGACAGACTCTGACACACCTCAGTAAGCGGGCTGAGAGTTAGGTCCGAACACGGCCAGCCGCCCATTCGACGCCCACATTCCCTGAGCGGTCTCCGAGCTGAGACCGGGTTCACTGTCGGCCATTATGGAGAGTTGATACCGGATGTGAGGTATTACTGAGCGGAGACCGCTCCAAACCGACACGCCGGGCAACGCTCCCTCTTACCAGCGACTGACGGCACTGGGTAGGAGGCAAGATTACTTTACTTATAGGTAGGAGGGACCCACGGCTCTTTCCTGGCCTCAACACATTGCAGAGGTCACGTAACAATGTAGTAAGCATGCCAGGTATTTCGTTCGGCTGCCGCTACAGACGCTCAGTTGTCGTCACACACAGTGCAGCTGTCCGTAGCGCGCACCGCGCTGCAGTAGCAGAGCAACGGCCATTCGACCTAAAGCCGCACGGATGGGGTGGGCCGGTGCCGACCTACCGGCCAGTCCGCCGCTGCGGCTTTCGCCAGTCCGCCGTCACGGATTCCGCCGACCTGCGAGACAGAAGCCGGGCTCCGCCGGCAGTGTTTCACGCATCGGCGACCCTGACCCGCTTCAGACCCCGGGCCGGCCCGGCCGCAGCCCGCTGTGACCCGGGTTCATTGGCTCCGACCTTGTCCCATCTGGGGGAGACGGGCCAGACCGGCCGGCCGCGCCCGCCACCGGGCGGCTACCATAATCAGCAGCTCTGGGAGCGTGCCGCGCCGTCAACGGCCCGTGCGACCACGCCGTGACGGCCGGTCACGCGGTACCTCGGCCGTCATCAGCGCTCAGCGGGCCGTCATCAGCGCTCAGCGGGCGCCGGCTGCCCGGGATGAGTGGCGCCGGAGAGCGTGTCAACCGTGACCCTGTGTCGGTGCGCCCTCTCCGCCCCCGCCGACAAACGACCTCGACACGGGCAGAGCGTGGGACTCAAGTTCACAGCACGCTCCTGTGCATTGTGCGCTGGCAAAGGTATGCAGTGCCGTGAAGGTATGCGCCTAACGTACCGTTATGCACACCCAGATAAGATTGAAGTCCGCAACTTAAGATTGCATCTATTATATAAACAGCCAATTTATCGGTATCTCGGCTTCCATTGGAAGGTCAATAAAAGCAGCCGCCGCAGGACACTGCTGCACCGTGCATTCTTTTATCAGCTATCGCGTCATCCACTATCAGGCGCCCGAAAACGGTAAGCTAGACAGCACTGCATGCTTAAGCTCCACAATCAGATATTCTTGATAGAAAGAGGGAAAGCTACCCGGCCACATCGAGCTTCCCGACAATAACACAGTGCAGCTAGCCAAAAATCGGCGGCTGCCCGGCCGCTCGGCGGTACGGCGGCCCCGACCGCTCAAGCGTAGCAGCAGCAAGGAAAACCGGCGGTTGGCGTGGGCCGCACCGTCGTGTCGCGCGCGCAGCGGCGGCGGCAGTGGCGGCAATGGCGGCCTTTCACCTTGCCGTCGCGGCGGCCGCCGGCACTGGGCACCGGCTCAGCTCGGAATGGGGACGCGGCGGAGCGACATCCATTACACACACACTCACGGCGCTGGGAGCGGCAGCGGAGGCAGCGGCAGCGACCTACCTACACGGCCGTAATCACACCGAGCCGCCACGAGGCGCTCTTGATTCTCCCACGGATAGGTACGCATTACAGGAAAAACAGCAGGTAAATCAATTAATCCGAGGGGTAGTGTTACAACTAGTGCATGCCATAGAAGTGGAAAAGTTAGGCGGAAAATCAGTTGTGCGTGTGGACGCTGCCATTCCTTACACCATCAAGAATGTGTCACGGATAAATTAGTCACAGATACATTATAAATACGCATACAAATAAGTAGTTACCACCAAATGAGACGTTGCACAGGACATTTTGCAAGGTTAACACAAAACCCAACACAAACACGTATACCGTGTCCTGGCTGCCAAACACAGCCGGAGTCGCACGCCGCAGTTCCCAAACACGAATAGCGCGGGGTCGGCCGCATGACTCACCTCCTTCCCGCCTTGATGACCGTGCTGGAGAGTGTGATGTTGTAGGGCATGGGCGTCGGCTGGGCGGGCGGGCCGTGGCCCGGGGTCATCTCGCCGCAGGCGGTGGACGGCGCCCCGCGCTGGTAGGCGCCGCAGACGGCCAGCGCCGCCGCCAGCGCCAGAAGGCGCGCCACTCGGCCGCGCATGGTCGGTGCTGGCCGCGCTCTCCGCAGGCTCTGTGTGGGGCGGTCAGTGGCCGGGTGGGGTGCGCCGCGCGCCGCTGCTCACCCGGACCGCGAGAGGCGCTCCCTCTCCGTCAGAGTCGGCACCGGCACCGTCTGCCAACTGCGCCGCTGGAGAGCCGGTGACGAGCTAACCTCCGAGGCAGACCTGAGAACGGGGCGTGACGGGTCAGAGGTCGGACGACGACTGTACAGATGAACACACCCACCCACACAGCATACCTGACGCGGCATCGGCAGACAGCTGCGCAGTGAGCATGCAAACAAGCAAAAGGGTCAACCTATTGGCGGTAAGGGGCCCGAATATCGCGAGCGATGGATGACCAGCGCGGTGCGGGTGGATGGAGAGGGATGGGGAACCGGATGTCTGTTCTCTGCTGCCCCAAGACCAGTATAGCCGACCGATCTGACACAAGAGAACAGATAGCCGAGAGCAGTCACCCGACTGAGTCCATGGCCTGTCACCGTGCCGCACTAAGCGCCGGCCCCAGCGATCCCTATCTCCGGTATTCAGGAAAACGGCGGCGACTCGGCAGGCAGGTACGGCGCACGGCCGGCCGGCCGGTACCGCCGGCCGGACCACAGCGCGGCTGGCCTAGATCGCGTCCCGTGTGCGCCCGACTACTAGCCACTGTCAGCCGGCAGTGCTGGTTCCCATCGGGCCCAGACGCTGTCGTGCTGTCCAGTGTCCACACGTCCGGCCCGAGCAGCCCAAGATTACTCGAGCAGCCGGCACGCGACCGGATACTCACCAGCCGCCGACGGCACGAGATAGGACGACGGACCAGGGGACAATTTGACAAAGGAGCCTGAGCAGTGAATATCGGGCAACAGGGAGTGCACACGCCCAGGCGACAGGACGACCGGCAGACCGGACATCGCAGACAGGACACTGAAGAAGGGTGATAAAACACTGGAAACCGGTAACCGGACGAGGGGATCCTTTGTAGCGATCAAAGGATCAGGCACTGCCATATAACATGAACCTAATGAAGCCATCGTAACTGAAGGAGCACTACTCACTGCGCAGTGCACTTTACCACACCACGTCCATGGGCACACAGTACTCTCAGCAGTGTAAAATCACCACCCAACTCTACTGAATACACACACAAACGTACACACCAAGGTCATCGGTCTGGCAAAATAAACGGCATGGACAGTCGGCACCTAACACTACACAGCTATGGCAAAGTCGCAGGTCACGATTACGGGACAGATGGACGACAGTCACACAGCTTGCAGCTCCGTGGTGGCCGGTATTACGACTGCTAGCTCTAACGGATACAGGCTCCAGAAAAGCCAACGGGGAGACCCGGGCGAAAAAAAGGCTAGCGAGAGAATGGCGTCGGCTAAATTATTGTTTTGGCATTTATCGATTCCGCAGCCTCCAGGGCGTAACATCGCACGGATCACGTAACAATCGCAGTGTGACATTACGGTTTCGGATATACCTACTGCACAAGAGGACATGCACGCTGTGAAGTCGTGGGTCATACTTACAAACGCTTCAAACGTCACGAATATTCTTAGCCAACAGTTCCTGCCAATGTCGTAAACCGGCAGCAGCCGAAGGCGGAAAAGTTAAGCAGCCCCCGAGCCGCGCCAGACAGATCGCTGTTTCCCCGGCGTGCAGGCCACACAAAGGCGGAAATGACGCGAGAGTCGACTCTCCGGAGAGAGAGTGACTAGAGGATATTACGGCGAACTAACGAAACCAGTGAGTGCACTCCAGATTGCAGAGAAATTTCTGAAATCGGATTAGACGGTCGGAAGCGTGACTGTCATTACCGCGGACAGTGCCACGGCGACGAGGAAATGTTTTATTGCAGCACGGGGCCGGATCTGACGGTCCGGAACCACCGTCTCCAGACCGGCCTTCTGCATCTGTCTCCGCTCGAGCAGCCGACCTTCACTGGCCACCGACAGCGGAAGTCGGCCGAGCCGGCACCGGAAACCTGAAGTCGGCGGCACAGACTCAGTCACAGTTCGCCAGGCGGCAGGTGGTGGTTCAATGCCGGCTTCAGAGCCGAACCAAGCGCTGAACCAACAATAGAAATGTTGGCCTCAACCGATATCACGCCCTCAGACTCAAGGAACCTCGAACACTTGTAACAGTTGTAACAATGCCAGAACACTCGATTGAACCGGTATAGCTAACGGGTTACGTTTGCCGATAAAGGCGAAACGTGTGCTATTTTATCGGCTGCGAATGGACCCGTCACGTCGTTGGATGTCTCCCCGCCGCCGACCGGTGCGGTACGGGCAGGTAGGCAGGCCACCGGACCGTGGATGAGCGCCCATCTGGCGGTCGGTCACGCCATCTGCCGGTGTTTGTTCGACGATCCGACCGCGGCGCCGCAAACCCCGCGGCGAAACAGCCGCAGGACCAACGGGATCGCCCCGAGGGCCAGCTGGACGAGACATCTTCGTGACGCCGCAGCACGATTCAGAGAAGAGCATGCAAGAGAAGAAAAAACACCACAATTCTCGATGCAGATAAATTGACAATAAGTTGGAAAGTTCTACGACCGATCTTAGAACCCGTTGGCTTGCACCACTTCACGTATGAGCGATATCTGTCTGTATAGAGCGATTAGCAGCTGAGTTCAGGACATGTCCATTGCGAGTCACTGGCTTCACCCAACACGTCTCCGGTCCAGGCTTCTCAAACGCCCTCGGCGGCCGGTGGCCGGCACAAATCCCGCCCTCGGCGGACGCCTGCTGCACGGGCGGCGGCGTTCAGCCCCGCCGCGCCGGCCGAGGGTCGGAGAAAGCCTCCTCTCTGACCGGGCAGCGGGGCCGGGGGCGGCGGATCACGCGCCGCTCAGCGGCCGGTGCCGCCCCCGCCAGGCCGGCGACACACTCTCACTGGCCGGGAGCCGCTCAGGACGTACTCCGGAAGGCGGGATGGCCACCGGGCGTCCGTCTCTCAGACGCGCCCACCTGGGGCTCCAATAGGTGCGCTGAATGTAGTCGACCGCCGCGGGGGCCGCCCACCGCAGCGATGGACGATTCACAGCAGAGCAACACGTGCCTGATGGCTACGGACATCGGCGGCGGACTTCGGATGAGTGTTCCCGTCAAAACTGCGAATTCCCGCTGTACATAATTAAGCATGCCTGTCATACTGTGTTTGTTTGTTTGTTAATTGGGGCTTTAGGACGCGCCGACTACTTAGGTCATTTTGCGCCCATAGCGTCGTTTTAATAAAACAAGTGTGTCAAAAGAGAGAACCTTCTAGATACGAGTACTAAAAAGCAAAACTGTGTCATAGGCAGTGGACGAAAACGTTAAGCTTTATTAACACCTTCCGTTTTCTTTCAAAAAGCACGCGGAGCAAATCAAGTGCATCGTCATAGCTGGTTGGCGTAACAATGCCCGCAAAGGTTAACGAGCGCAGGTTAATGCCCAAACCGAGAAAATAAGCCCTCAGCCGATGCGAGGCCGCATAAATAGCGCCAGCGTCCGTGAGTGGGAGCGCAAGGTGGAACCAAGGACGCACCACGCGCCTCCAAGGCTCTCCCTCTTTCTCCGCTCTCTGGGCGTCATGTTGACTCAGCAAACCATGACTCAGGTGATGTGCGTCACGGTGATAACACAGACAGCAGCGCCGCAGCCTCGTCTCGAGTCCAGAAGAAGAAAAACTCCGCCATGCTGACTCACGTTTGCCTTCACCCAAACTCCAAAACCTGCGGCGCGGAAGTAGGGCCCGGCGCTCGGGCAGCCCCGCGGATGTGTGTCTGCGATAGGCGCTGGCCGAGTCCTGCCGCGGCGGCGCGCCGGAATCCGGGCCGGAGAAACTCGCGGCGAGTGAGTCAGCCCGAGCGGCGGCGCAGCGCTGGACTGTCCTGGTCCGCCGGCGCGGCGCGGCGCACTTCCGATCGACCGACGCACACGGCCGCCGTCCAGCTGCACCGAGCTGTAGGCGACCAAGGGAGGAACGGGAAACTGGTGGAGCCGCAAGAGAAGAGAAACGTCGCTGAGCCTTCCCTGGCTGGAATAAGTCTAGGAGGCACAAAAAATATGCACTCGGTGTGCTAAGGCTTGGAGGCAAATCTACGCCTGCAGGCCTTAATGACCCCGAACCGGAACTTTAGCGAATGGAGAGATCTCAAATGCTTTTGATTGGGTTGGCGACGCTGAGATAGTTCGTAGCACCTCTCGGCCTTCTTTCCTTTTTTCTTTTCTTTCTCGGCTCAATCAGAGGGCAGAAATCTGAGCGAAGCAGAGCCACATACACCACCAATCGTATGAGCTGTTCATAATGCCAAGAATTGTCATACGCTATGAGTCATAGGGAGTTTTGACCGCTACTTTGGTACCGCACCTCGCGAGACAGCCGAATCATCTCGATGGAGATGAGTCAACATCCAGGCAATGTCGCCTATCTGCCGGTAACGAAAAATAAGTATTCACATCTTTCAACGGCGTTGAGTTCGGACGTGAAAAGAGGACACGCTGCAGCCCGGCAGCCGGGGGCGGCCCCAGGTGGCAGGGCCGCGGCCGAACGCCCGCCGAGCCACGATCCACGACTCGAGGGGACGCCACCACGCGCCGCATTCCTGCGTGTGACCTTGAAGAGGATTCGCCGAGGTATGAGAGTGGGACGCAGCAAAAAAGTCCGCGCCAGAAGGTGTAAAACAATTCATACCGTTGAGGGATCTATCTAAGATATAGATGAATGCTCGGCCACTACCAACTATGAGCAACTAACACCAACCATCCGGCAAACTTTGGACCATAATCGCAGATAGCTCGCCAGAAATCATCCCACTCGGCCCTACAATTACCACAAACAGCTGGACCATCCTTACACACCAGCTGTTTAGAAGCCGGCACTCCCGTGGCGGTGCCGGTGGAGGCCATCTTCCAGCCGGGCTGAGGTCGGGGCCCGGCCAGGCGGCTCAAACCAGTCGGGCCGCTTTCTCCCACATTCCACACTCACCTCTGCTTCTCCGTGCACTCCTTGCTCCTGCTCCAGTGGCGTCCGGTCGCAGATTCCGCTACCGACGTCTTCGTTGCACAGCGCACTCTCGTCTGAACGCTGACCCGGTACCACCAACGGGTAACCAAGTTCACTTCCGAGCACCGCGAGCGCGTCCTCCCCTCGCGACGACCGGCTCCGTTCTGCGCGCGGTGGCCGAGACGACGCGGCCGGCGGCTCCAGGCGGCTCCAGGCGCGGGCCGCGCGGAGGCGGGGCCGGCCGGCCGCCGCCGCTCCGCGAGAGTGCGCCACGCAGCCGCCTCGCAGCAGCTGGTACGCGCCGCCAGGATGACTGGACGCCGTGCCAGTCGGTAAGGACGTAAGGACCCCACGGCAACACTGGGGAACAAATGAGCACCGCGTTAGGAGCTAGGATATAAGCACCAGTAGCGTAGGCACCTGACTTAAACTGAGGTCAGGGAGGGGTCGATACATTTGAGCTTAAAAAAGATATGTATAGGAAACATCTGTGCAGGCGACCGTTTCAGTAACAAGACATGCGTTGAAATCAAACAAACGAGACAGTATTGTCGGAGGGGATTCCCAGATATGGATAACGGTTTCAATAAAAAAAACAAATTCATACAAAGGAGACGTCAACAGACGACAGGCGATAGCGCTTACCAGTAAACAGGTGACTTCTGGGACAACTGTCAACAGGTGACATCGGTCGTCAACCTACAGGTGATTTAACGTCAACTATTCCACAGGCGGCCTCGGGCGTCAACCGTCAACAGGTGGCATTAGCGTCAACCGACAACAATTTATACCGGGCGTCAAATGACAGTGATATCAGGCGTCAACAGGGGTAACGCCGGCCCTGGGTGTCAAATGTGACACATGTGTACTCAAGAGGCTGTCACCGATTCGTTGGTCGACACCGCGTGGTTACGCCGAGGCTAGGCATCCGACTCTCAATCGAAATCAGCATACAAGTCGCTGTCAGCTCATCTGGCCAAGATATTGTGCCGCACGGGGACCCGAAATAAAAGGTTAACCATAAAAAACGTCTTGTAGCCTGACAGCAGCTTCGGATTATAGTATGGTCTTCTGAGCGTCTACACAAGGCGCAGTAGGACATCACTTACCCGTTGGCAAAATCGCCATGCTGAATGCCGCCAGGAACACATGAGACTAATGGCTTCCTAAGGCGGGTTTCTGTTACAACAGCCCCGGCGTTCGGCACTTCCGCTTGCATAGTGATCTACGATTGGGATAGAGTGCACATATGGATAACGCACTACGTATCAGATTTAAGATAATACCGTCGCATAGTATACATTTTGATATATTTGACATCTAATATTGGAATATAGTGCATGCTAAGCGATATCTCTTATCACCCAGTTACAATAAATACATAACTGATCGCAGCAAAATACAGCATGTAAACGAAACAAACTCCTTCAGCATGCTAAACAAATGTTCAAGAAGTAATACACAATACAGCTGTATAAGCAAAGTTCGCACATTTTTTAGCCCTCAACAACCGAAACAGTCTTGGACATAATGTTACCTACGTTCAGATCGTGTTTGAATAAGGTCATGGAACCGAAACGTTAGGACATGCAAGGTGGATTCACAACAAAAAACGGACGTAGCAAGCAGCACATTTCCCAACCATTTAATGGACTCAGGTGACTGCAACTTCACGGACACCCATCACGCCCTGCATCTGCAACACGGGTTTCGCATCAAAACAACCGGCCGATACCACCCATTCTCTGTCCTCCACACACTGCCAACGGCGCTAGAGCCGGCTGGCAGCACCGTCTCCCACAGCATCTGCCGATCGCCGGGCGGCTCAGTTCTTCTTGTACTCGATACGCTCGACCTTGACCTCGTCACCGACCATCTGGTAGACGTAGGTGACCACAGTGCCCGACTGGATGTCCATCAGCACAAAACACGACTCCACGCTGCTGTCGAGCGGGTGCCACGCGCCCGTCGCCGAGCCCGGGTTGATGTAGAACTTGTTCTCATGCTCGAACGCCTCGAACTTGTGCGTGTGCCCCGATATGAGAATGTCGACGTCGAGCTGACGCTGCACCTGGGCCAGCGCCTCCGTGTCGCCCCAGGGCACCACCTGGTGGCCGTGGCAGAGACCGATGCGGAACTGGCCCACGTTCACCACCTTCTGCTCCGGGTACGAGATGTTGTCGTCGAAGTCGCCTCGCACGATGTGCACGTCGGTCGAGAGCGTCTTCAGGTAGTCGAGTGTCTCCTTGGTGCACAGGTTGCCTGTGCAGAGGATGTGCTGGATCCGACCGGGAACCAGCAGCTTCTTGAACTTGGCCGGCAGTCCGTTGGAGCGGTGGGGGATGTGCAGGTCACCCAGTACCAGGACGAGCATCGTGAGAGATGGTTGCGGCGACGCCGAGCGCTGCAGGAATACAAACTGTCATATCACTCTACTCGGTGCCCTGTGCAGCCCGAGTCAATACTTGCATGTGTGTTCAGCTTGTTTCAGATGTGCATTAGTTTTGTGTGGCATTGTCTAAAATTTTATGGATTCTTCAGCCAAAATTGACACAAAAAAGTAGTGGTTAATGAAAATGTTCTGATTTAACCCTCGCCCCGTTGGGGGGGGGCCATTTTGGCCCCCCCTGTGGTTTTTCCTGAATAGCAAGAAAACGGCGGCGCGCAGCGCCGCCAAATATTCAGTACCTTCCCGGGCATCAATTTGACACCTTCACACCAAATTTCAAGTCTTAGGTCACCTTAGGTCAGGAGTTATTGAGGTCAAACTGAGGTCATGTTCGAGCAAAAATGAGCAAAAAACATGCAATCTTGAAACGCTCACCAAATCTACAGTTATCAAGCAATTTCAAAGTTCTTTACATGGTCTAGTAGACAAAAAGCGGCGCTACAAAACTGCTATCTCGGATTTTCAAAATTTTTGGTTTTTGACCAAAAAAAAAATTCAAAAATTGATTTTTTTAGAAAAACTTTGAAAAAATCCAATATTTTTCCGAATTTCGAAAAAAACCGGAATATATGTGATAGTACCGGCGCTCTTCTATATACATACCAAATTTCAGATCGATATCTCGTTTTTTGGCCAAGTTATAGCGAAAAAACTGTTCAAAAATGATGACGTCAAATTTTTGAATTCAATTTTTAGCAATTCTAGACCACGTACGGCAAAACAAAGACCACCATTGAACTCCCCGTGACGAGCTGCATCGATTCGATACCCATTTTATGCAAAAATATTAACTTTAAAATTTGACCTAATTTGACCTGACCTTGACCTGACCTTGACCTGACCTTGACCAAAACGTGATCTAAGCTGGCCCCAAAGGCTGCCTGACACATATAATCGCATTTGTCATGTAAAATGGACCATAAAACATGTATCACACGACACTTTCATATTGTGACCCCCCCGTGACCTGACCTCTGTGACCTGACCTGGTATCAGTGACCTCAAATAGCAAAATATGTGTTTGAAGAGCATTTCCCCATCGATGATTTTCAATGAAATGCATTTTACTCGATTTTACAACGCATTTCTTGAAGTGCCTGTAAACGGTGAAAATTGGACCTTTGACCTGACCTGTGACGTCATCGGTTTGACCTAGGTCAATAAAATTGGGTCACAAGGTAGTTCCCCGTTGGGGCTATCCAACGCCGTTTACCGCTTGTCGCTATGTTGCGTGGTTCTCGAGATCTTAGGGGGGGGGGGGGCCAAAATGGCCCCCCCCCCCAACCGGGCGCGTTGCTCGGCAGAGCCCAACGGGGCGCGGGTTAAGTGTAGATAAATCAAGGCATAGGTATACCTTAGATTGTTATGACCATTGAACCTGCTGCAAAGTGCAATGGCTGCAAGTCATGATGATGATAATGATGATTATGCAATGATGCAAATGCTTCTGAGCTTGGGGCTGGACTATTTAGGTCATCAGCACCTCATATTAAAATAGGAAATAGGAAATAAAATAGGATTCCAGTAGGGTTTCCCTCGAGTTACAGGACAAACCTTCGTCGCTGACAAATTATTGTATGACAATTTTTAAACCAGAAAAAGGAAATGAACATAACATAGCTGAACCTAACCTAACCTAGCCATACCTAATCTGACATGTCATAGCTAGAGATAGTGTAGGAGTGGCTATGATAGCTATGATAGCAAGATAGAACTACTGCTACGATAACTGTAGTTCCACCCCAACCCTATTGTGGAAATTTTAAATTTTACAACAGCAAGGATAAAGGGCAAAGATTTGCATTAGCGAAGTACCTAGGCAGTATGATATAAATAAGCCTGGCGTCCCAGGAAGATGCCAGATACCGTTGTAGGTCAATGGTATCTGGCAACGGTAATCAACGGTAATATGACTGTAATCAACGGTATCTGGAACATAATGATTTATGATACCAGTAAAACGCATTTTGGGCGACCAACGGAGCGAGCGAGAGGATGGGCCTTGCACGTGCGAAATTGCGAGGGGGTACCTCCAACTAACTTGTGCACTGCACCCTACCAACCGGTCTTTAGCGATGTGCCAAATTTCAGCGCAATCGGCCTAGCCGTTCTCGAGATCTGGAAGCGGCACACTGCACGTGCACACGTGCAAGCGGGGTCCAAACTGACTTTTGCACGGCACCCTACTAACTGGTCCCCAACCGTGTACCAAATTTGAGCGCAATCGGCCCAGCCGTTCTCGAGATCTGGGAGCGCCCCCTGCACGTGCGCACGTGCTGTAGCACCCCACCCTTAACACATGCAGATGAATTATCTGATGGAGACCTAACTGTGTACCGAGTTTCAATTCAATCGGCCCAACCGTTGTGCCGTTATTGAGGTTGCAATTTTGGGGGTTCTTAAAAAATGTCCAACTTTACCACGCGCCACGTGCGGTGGTTGGCAAGAACGCATGGTGGCCATCACACCACAGAACTTTTACGTCCAAGTGACATTCAGTAAAGAAGACCGCTTGTCAATAGGATGTCCCGTTCCTAAGATATTAGCTTTTGAAGAGCGTCCCCACGGCCGGCCGGCCGGCCGGCCGCTCATACTCAGGATTTTCTCATCATACTCAGACCAGTATAGCGCCTTTTGCGGCGACTAACGGAGCGAGCGAGAGGGCGAGCCTTGCACGTGCGAAATTTCGAGGGGTACCTCCAACCGACTTGTGCACGGCACCCTACTAACGGGTCTCTAGCGATGTGCCAAATTTGAGCACAATCGGCCCAGCCGTTCTCGAGATCTGGAAGCGGCACCCTGCACGTGCGCACGTGC